CCACGCCCCGTTCAATTGTGGTATCGAAGATCAGGAACTAATCGGAGTCATGCATGACGGTTTCAGGACCAAATTTATTCGACGATGTGAAATGTGTGGAGTCGAGAGCGAGCTTTGGTCTGAAGTACTGGAGGATATTTGTAGAGATTGCTGATGAACAGATGAAGCTGAATGGCATTGAGTGTGCACTATAGCTCGGCAAATGGGGCGAATTATCAATGGGATACCAACCTGCCCAATGGTCACGGATGGCTCCTGGTCTGTTCGGTCTTACTGTAATAAAGGCAGATCTGATTCAGGGATGGCCGTTGGTATTTATTATGGTTGGTCCATGGACCAAAAAAGTTCTGTTTGCGGGATACAGGAATCGATATTGCTATCGTTGTAAGCGGATTGAGAATAGTACTCTCTCACCCCACGACCATAGATGCTGGAAGAATTGGCCAGCAGATCAGAGCATTTTGCCTGTTGAAAGTGCCATCATTGTAGAACATTTCAGGAATAGCAGAAAGGACCATGGCCTTATGTATACTGAGCTAATTGGAGATGGTGACAGCAGTGTTCATGCTCGGGTTGTGCAGGCAAATCCTAATGATGATATTGCTTCAGTCAAAAAAGTTGACTGTAAGCTTCATGTTGGTCGAGCCCGTACTGGCGAAATCGGGAGGGAGATTCTAGCTTTTAAGCCAGGTCGATCAGAAGAAGCCCAGAGATTGAAGTCGTTAGCTTGTAACTCAACCAGACGTATCAGCAAAAGCGTAACGGCAGCATCGCGTTATCACAAAAGACAAGAGATCGAGCGACAAGAACAAGTAATACAGTTGAAGAAAGATATCCTCAATATTATTGATCACGTCTTTGGGAATCATGAAGAGTGTGCTCGATACTTCTGCGATGGACAGGGCAAAGAAAGTGAGGTGAACTTGGTTCCCGCTCTCAACAGGTATGGATTGTATGAACGCTTGAAGGAAGTAATGCGAAAATGGAGTCATAAAGCCAGTGATTTGTTAGAAGACCAAATAACGAATTATGCTGAGTCATTCAATGCTCTTTTGGCTAAATATAATTACCACAAGGGTGTAAATGTTCAGTTCAGAGGAGTGTATCCCGCTCGCATAGCAATGACTGTGATTCAATTTTCTACTCAAGCAATTGAAAGCATTTTCCATCTCAAATTGGGAAAAGAGACACCTGCGCTACTCCTGGGGATGGAACTGCAGAGGCGAAAGAAGAATATTTTCAACAGGAGATATCGTAAAAGTAAGAAATCTCCACAACTTGCCTCTGGTCAAACGGATTTGATGGACAAATTTCCTGATTATGGTAAAAATCCTGAAAAACCAGATTTGGCCCTGCCTGACTATGACGAAGCTGTACGAGCTCACTTGAGCACTTTAGAACAGTGGAATGATAATCGTGTACAGATTGAAGAAGATACTCGTCATGATCTCGATCTACTAGCTATGAAGCAGAGGAGACTCCTCTGCAGTGAACACTTCGGGCAGGTATGCAATATAAGAAAAACAATACCAACTGCTCCAACGCTTGCGAAAATTCTGTATCCTTCTACCCGCAAAAAAGCCATCCAAACGCACGAGCAATCTGTGGGAGATCGGATCACTCGAGAAATACAAGGATTGATGAAATGTGGTCTATTCATCCACCCCGAATTCAAATTTGTAGGTTGCAAACCTGACGGTATGTTACCGAATGGTCATATCGTCATTATTCATTGTCCATTCAATATTCGAGACAAAACAGTCGATGAAGCGATGAGCACTGACAAATCAGGTCTCCAGAAGCTATTCAAGCTAGTTGATAAGGATGACGACGGCAAAGATTTGAGAGAACTGAATCACAACAATCCACTCTATTATGAGATTGTAGGAAGTCCTGCAATAACAGAGAAGAACTCCTATCGGTTAGTGATTGCAACGTCCAAAAACTCTATATCTGTCGATGTCACGAGCGACGAGGGATTTTGGCGAGAAACGATGATTCCAAAGCTTCGTACTTTCTATGAAGATTTCATGATTCCAGAGATTGTAGACAGTAGAAAGATGAGGAATATGCCCTTACGGGATATCAAATGCGCCAAGAAGCCTTCTGTTGCGGAGGTAACAGCAAGTAAGGATTCTCATGAGCAAACCGAAACTTTGGATGATGAGGATAACGAGAGCAATCAGGAATTAGAGAATTTTCGAAAAAACCGTCAGTCACTGGTTCACTGCGAAAATAGGAATGGTGGTGATGATCTGGAAAGTTCTCAACATTTTCCAGAATTCAATGACAGCATAAATCAAGAAGAGAATCAATCAATTGTGGAAAGTCTGATCGCATATGAACTGAGCGATCGCGAAATCAATATTCTACAGGGTCGTGCTGAATTAGAATCCAATCATTTCGATGTATTGTGGCGANCAATCAATTGTGGAAGGTCTGATCGCATATGAACTGAGCGATCGCGAAATCAATATTCTACAGGGTCGTGCTGAATTAGAATCCGATCATTTCGATGTATTGTGGCGGATAATAGGCGAAGTTACGGAAGGTCTTTACGCATTTCGACCTCTCCTGTTATTGCAACATTCTCTGGACCTAATAGAGCCTATACATCCATTGCAAAAACATATCCAAATTTTGAATCGTGGTGGAAACCATTGGGTATGTGCTTATTATGATACAAAAACGATTTATATTTATGACTCATTGCCTTCGACAGCACAAGACCTTACTGCACCTTACAGCTTAGTTCTTCGACAATTATTCCCAAAATATAAAACTGGTGAGTTACCAGTTGTTTTTCCGTCTGTACAAAGTCAAATTGGTTCAACTGACTGCGGCGTTTTTGCAGCTGCATTTGCAGTCACTTTGGTGTATTCTCTCGATCCATCCCAAATACGTTATGATCAAGGGACATTGCGCCAGCATCTTTTGAGAATTTGTCAGACTGGTGAGCTACGGCATTTTCCTCTTTCTGTGCACTGTAATATTGCTATTCCTAACCTTGAAGATCAGATAGAACACGAATGGAATATGTTATATGAACGTTCTAATAACTAGGAGATATCCCTTGAAAGTTATCCGTCATCAGACTATACCGACAGATACTGGGTGGTGCTATCATTATATTAGTCATATAATAACCCCATTTTTCACCAAACTGCTTACCTTATATATACGCGAAAATGGAAATCATATTGGAGACGGTATTCACCTGCTTGATAAGTAAGAACAAACTTCTTTCAGGTAGATTCCTCATGTAATAATATAGTTCGTTCATTGACTAATTCTGAGTAGAGTGCGAATGAATGATGGCGAAATATAGTGCGGAGAGAACAGAAGCGTGATATGAAATACAGAAAAATCGATGGCCATAATAAAAGAACATGGGTAGGAGGAAGCAACTGGAAACAGAGCTTTCCAGTCGATGAGTGTAGGTACAGTAGACTCTCCGTAGCTCTCCATTTTCGGGGAGATGGATTCCAAAAACGGCAAGCTAGAACTTGCCTCTTCTGTACGTGTACGGGGCGTATCTGACAACACAGATACTCTGACTATTCAAGCGAGAACGGTATAGNAGAGCCTTCCAGTCGATGAGTGTAGGTACAGTAGACTCTCCGTAGCTCTCCATTTTCGGGGAGATGGATTCCAAAAACGGCAAGCTAGAACTTGCCTCTTCTGTACGTGTACGGGGCGTATCTGACAACACAGATACTCTGACTATTCAAGCGAGAACGGTATAGTTATCCCCATATCCTAAAACGCACCTCCCCTCTGGAGCTGTCGCCCGTGCGTGACGTCACGCACGTGGTGGGGGGCGATCTTCTCCCGCTCTGTAATGCCCGGAGAGCTGGAGACGTAGAGAGCTAAGAAAAGTCGACTGTACTCTATACGCGTCAGTGTATCCCAGTATGATGAAGATGTATGCAAAATTGTCACTTATTATTTATTTTCAAAATAAAGATCTTCACGGGCGTGAGGTTGGAGCCTATATCTGGGATACCACTCAGTGGATATAATCCAACCGGATAGAAAGAGCCAGCCCCCAAAAGTCTCATGTGCCAGGTGAAACTGCAATGTAAAATGTAGTATACATAATTTCACACAAATAGCAAAAGTTGAGGACATTCGTGACTGCACGTCACATGAAAATAGAAAGATTATGCTTTCTCATTTATGATCGAATATAAAAATAATTGGCTGTATAGTTATGGTAGACGAAGCATATGCGACATAATCCACTGAGGTGAATGGCGTTAGCCTACCCAAATTGACATTCCGGGTGTTCATTTGTAATCAAAACAAAATCGCCATAACAAACCTAAAAAATGAACACCATTCAACACAAAAAACGTGGGAATGTCAATTATAAAAATATCGGCCTCTTAGTATCTCTGCACTGTGCGTTTCAGCCAAAATCTGCATTCTCCCAGAAATTATATTTTGAATGATAACCTGCGATGGATGGTGGTAGTATATTAACTTTCTGTTCGGGAACGTATCTGTTGGGAANACCGAATTTCAGTGCAAGGGTTTATGTTGGGAAAAGATTCAGGAAGTTTCTTGAAATCTAGTGATTTTGTTTTTATCAGTTTTTCTAGTTCCACGCGCCATTGCGCCATTTTTCTTTTTCACTAGTTTTTTCTAAGATGGCCGCACGACATGTGCCAAAGATTTGTAAGCCGTTTAATAATACAGAATAAAAAGTTAATTAATGTTTAAATTGAGTCTAAAGTGTTTTGAAACTACCCCAGTTGTGACCTACTACAACATTTTGGCGACCGTGACAGGATATTTCAGATAAAATAGTCACAGAACTGCAAAAGTTTAAGAAGCTGCGCAAGGCCGTTCGCCAGTCGTCCACACGCATCTACACCTCCATACTCGAAGAGGTACCAGCAGAACAACCTAACCTCGACAATGTGAGAACGTCTTTCGCCCTCTTTCGAGATAAGTCCAGTGAGCTCGAAGAGTGGAACGCGAGAGTGATTCAAGAGATGCAAGAAGACGAAGGAACTACAGACGACGCCTTGAACTCGGAGTTCGAGAAACAAGACGAGTACAAAAAACAGTATCACGAAGTGAAATTCAAAGTGCAAGCACTCGAACCTCCACCAGTTATCCCACCCATCCAAGTGGTTCAGGGAGACAATCCTCAAGTTATACAGGCTATTCACCACAACAGACGCTATAATTTGCCGAAAATTCAGCCTCCCAAGTTTGATGGTGAACTCAAGAATTACCTCCAGTGGTGGAGTTTATTTAAACCAATTCATGAAGACCAAACGATTCTCAAAGAAGAGAAATTCACGTATCTGGTCCAAGGTATGGTGGAGGGATCCAAAGCAGCAGAATTAGTTAAAAGTTTCCCACCCACACCAGAGAATTATGATGATGCTGTTGCCAGTTTACGTAATCATTTTGGGAAAAAGGAATTGTTAGTTGAAACGTACGTAAGAGAACTTCTGAAGCTCGTTCTCAGCAATGCAGTGAACAATAAAGAAATTAAAGAGTTGTCAAGTATCTACGATCAACTCAAAACGCAGTTGAGAGTCCTCGAGTCCATGGGAGTAACGACAGACATGTGTGCTGCAATGTTATATCCACTAGTCGAGTCTTCACTTCCGGAAGAACTTCTGCGTGCTTGGCAACGTCATTCATCCACACTGCAGATTCCAGATGCGAAAGAGAGATTGAACAAGTTTATGGACTTCCTGGAGGCTGAGGTAGAAGCAGATCAGAGAATTGACATGGCTAGGAAGGGTTTCAGCATCTCTACGTCAACTCAGAGTGAGAATAATGAGTCAAAGTCCAAGAAGAAATCGAAAAGTGAGTCTAAATCCATACCAACAGCTGCTGGTCTCCTTGCCACCAAAAGCGCTGCATCAGCTGTTTGCATTTTCTGTGATGGAAGTCATGATAGTACAGCTTGCGAGAAAGCTAGGAAAATGACATTGACTGAGAGGACTGAACTGGCCAAGAAGAAGAATGCCTGCTTCAAGTGTCTCAAGACTAATCACAGCTACAGGACATGCAGACTCAAGGATACATGTGGTTGGTGTGGAAAAAGACACGTGCTCCTGATGTGTCGAGAAAGAACCGAGAGCAGTGGTGCAAAAGAAACATCTAAAGTCGAGACGAAAGAGCTTAACCTCGCAAACTTCTCTTCAGATCCCGAAGTTTTACTCCAGACCCTAAAAGTCAAGATCGTCAATGGAAAGGCAGAACGTGAGGTGAGAGCAATTATAGACACGGGTTCTCATCGTTCTTATGTTCTAGCCACAATAGCAGAGTCTATGAAATACGAGGTCTTGGAGCAGAAAACGATGATTCATTCGCTCTTTGGTGGTTCTCGCACTCAGCCCCAACAACACAACACCTACAAAGTTCGTTTGAAGAGTATCGATGATACTTTCGCTTGTAATTTTGTAGCCTATGATCAAGAAATAATCTGTCACAACATACCCAAAGTGAGCAATGGCCTATGGGTTGAAGAGCTACGTCGTAAGTCTGTGAAACTGAGTGACGTTGGAGAAGGTCCCCTACCCATTGCGCTGCTTATCGGTGCAGATGTCGCAGGAAAATTATATACAGGTGATGTGTTGAATCTCCAGTCTGGTCTTACGGCAGTTGGTACTCGTCTAGGTTGGACACTCATGGGGAAGACGCAGCAGAATGCAGGGCAGAGTGATTCGGTGTTGTCAACTATCTCCATGTTTACTCAAGAAGCCAGTGTGTCAGATCTTTGGAGTTTAGATGTCCTGGGTATCACCGACCCAGTTGAAAAGAAAACCAAGGAGATGCATCAGAGAGAAGTTCTCGACAAGTTCATTGATACCACAATTGTCAACGAAGAAGGACGCTACGAGACGCTGCTTCCCTGGAAGGAGACACATCCACCCTTGACAGACAATCGGGGCATGGCAGAAAAGAGATTAGCAGGTGTGCTGAACAAGTTGCAGTCCAGCAACTTTCTCTCAGATTATCAGGAAGTTTTCAACAACTGGCTCGAAGAAGGCATAATTGAAAAGGTTCCTGACCATGAGGTATCGAAAGACAGTTATTATCTTCCTCACAGACCCGTGATTAAAGAAGGCAGCACCACTAGAATTCGACCTGTATTTGATGCATCAGCAAAAACTAAGCTGGGAACTTCGCTGAATGATTGTCTTCAACCAGGGCCAAATCTCATTGAACTTATTCCTAATTTACTGATGAGATTTCGAGAAAGAAGGATTGGGATCATTGCAGACATCCGTAAGGCGTTTCTTCAGATCAGTATAGGTCCTGAGGATCGAGATAACTTGAGATTCCTGTGGAAGGCATCCTCAGATGAACTTGAATACCAGGTGTATCGACATCGAAGAGTTGTATTCGGCGTGTCCAGTAGTCCATTCATACTGGGAGCCACTTTGGACTTACACTTGGATAGAGCTATTGCTAGCGAAGACAATGAAAGTGACAGAGAGATCCTCGGCCAACTGAAGCAGTCATTCTACGTGGACAATTGTGTGACCAGCGTGGACACCCTAGAACGTGCCAAGAGTTTCCAAGAAGTAGCTACGAAAACCCTCAAAGCAGGAGAATTTGACTTGAGGGATTGGGAACATTCTGGTATGAGTGGAGTGAAAGCAGAGTCCTTCGTTCTAGGTCTGAAATGGAATCGAGTGAATGATACATTGTCGCTGGTCTACACAGTCCTCCAGGAACAGCCACCAGAGTTGATCACCAAGAGAATAATCCTCTCCATCGCACAGAAGCTGTTTGATCCCTTAGGTATGATATGTTCTGTGTTAATTTATCCTAAACTATTGTTGCAGAAACTTTGGGATGAACAATTAGGTTGGGACACAGAAATGGATATCAAAACGAGAGATTCATTTACCTCTTGGCTAGAGCAGCTCAACTACCTGAGGGAATTGATAATACCACGATGGATTTTTGGTGCAGACATAGCTGAAGCCTCAATCTATCTACACGCATTTGTGGATGCCAGTAATACTGCATATGCTGCTGTTATATATGCAAGAGTGGAACTACATGATGAGGTTGACGTTCGATTCGTTTTCGCTAAATCCAGAGTAGCACCAAAGGGGTCAACAACTATTCCTCCCCTAGAATTGCTGGGAGCAACGGTGGGAGCACGTCTCATGCATTCTGTTGTTTCTGCTCTCACTGATAAACAACCAGAGTTACATTATTGGACAGATTCCTCAACAGTTCTTGCATGGATTCAGCGTGATAAACCCTGGGGTACGTTCGTGTGGAATAGAATTCAGGAGATTCGACGTTTGTCAGAGGCAAAGGCTTGGAGACATCTTCCTGGTACCCTCAACCCTGCGGACTTGCCCTCGAGAGGATGTACAGCAAAGCAATTAGTTGATTCAGGCTGGCACAAGGGTCCAGACTGGCTGCGTCTTCCTCCTGAGCAGTGGCCCAGTACTACAGTAAATGCAGATGAAGCCGAAGTCAGTAAAGAAATTCGAAAAACTGTCAACAAGAGTACTAAACAACAGAAGACACTTGAGAGTAGTTCTACGTGTCTCGTGGCTACTGAGGGTTCCACTGATCAAAGAGAGGGAGAAACACATTGGTACTTGAGACGCTTCTCCAGATACTCCAAGATAATTCGTCTTTTCGCTTGAATGTTGCGGTTCATTAACAATTGCAGACCGAGAAAATATCCAAGACTCGAGGGCTGTTTGAGTGTTTTGGAGATTACGAGAGCTGAGCTAGTGGCCTTGAGAGTAACACAAGCGGAGTGTTTCGACGGAGAAAGGGACCAGCGGCTGTCAGGTATGATAGTGTACAAGGATGAAATGGGTCTTCTTCGCCTCAAAACACCAGTGACATACAGAGACGACTCTCTGGGATTTCGTTGTCCAATAACCCTTGATCAGCATCATCCTTTAGTCAAGAAACTGATCCACCTATATCATCTGACTCTCCACCATGGATCCATCGATGTCGTGTGTAATTTCTCGATGTTTCACTGCCAAGAGGTTCGAATCTAATCCGATACCTTTGCCAGAGAATAGAGTAAGAGATGCTGCTGCTTTTGAGGTGACTGGTGTTGATTTGGCAGGGCCTCTATTTTTGACAGAAGGTGAGAAGAGTTGGGTGGTATTGTTCACTTGTGCAGTTTATCGTGCAATACATCTAGAGTTGGTGAAGTCATTGTCTACTGACGCCTTTCTGAAAGCCCTGAGGCGATTTATAGCACGAAGAGGAAGGCCACTTACCATTTATTGTGATAATGGTACGAATTTTGTAGGGGCCTGTAATGCTCTGCGTGACCTCGACTGGGACAAAGTTGTGGAGCAAGGTGTTTTGAGTCGAATAGAATGGATGTTCAGCCCACCTCTTGCAGCTTGGTGGGGAGGATGGTGGGAGAGACTCGTTCGTATAGTGAAAGAGTTGTTGAGAAGAACTCTAGGGAAGGCCTGCTTGTCATATGAAGAGCTCTCCACTACACTCTGTGATTGTGAAGCCGTTATCAATGCTCGGCCTCTAACTTATTTGGCTGAGGACACCCAGCAGTTGGTTCCGTTGTCTCCTGATGTATTTTTGAGAGATTTGAGGGAGTGTGGAGTGCCAGATTTGGATAGAGTGGACAGCACGTCGTTGAATAAACGACTCAAGTACAGACAACGCTTGCGACGAGAGTTGAGACAAAGTTTTCGAACGAAGTATTTGGGACAACTGACACGAGTAAGAGGCCCAAAGGCGTCTTCATTATCTGTAGCTGAAGGAGATCTAGTCTTTGTTGGAAATGACAACAAGAAGAGGTTGACCTGGCCCCTGGGACGTGTCGATCAGTTGTTTCCGGGGAAAGATGGTGAGATACGAGTCGTAAAAGTTAAGACAGGGGATGGCTGCTTGATTCGGCCGATTCAGAGACTTTACCCTCTGGAGATGTCATCTGTGGAAACAGTCCATATGATTACAGACCAAATGCCTCCTCCACCGGAAAGAATTAAGATGAAGACGGATGAGTCCAGTGGTTCGTCTGCCGTCGAAAAGGAGCATGAAGATCCCGATCATCTGATTGAGCATCAAATAGGAGAGAACATTGAGATCAAGACTACACGCGGTCGCGCCATTCAAAAACCCAAAAGACTATTAGATTGAGAAAGTATATTCTTTCATTATGTTTAATGTTCCATTTATTCTTCAGAGGTTTTGTTTTGAGTTGATTCCTTCTGATATCAACTCAAGGTGGGAGAATGTTGGGAAAAGATTCAGGAAGTTTCTTGAAATCTAGTGATTTTTGTTTCTATCAGTTTTTCTAGTTCCACGCGCCATTGCGCCATTTTTCTTTTTCACTAGTTTTTTCTAAGATGGCCGCACGACATGTGCCAAAGATTTGTAAGCCGTTTAATAATACAGAATAAAAAGTTAATTAATGTTTAAATTGAGTCTAAAGTGTTTTGAAACTACCCCAGTTGTGACCTACTACAACATTTCATTGTTCTAAGCCGTATCGGAAATGAATCAAAACCTGCAGGTGAGGAGGGAGAACATTCTTTGTCTTTTTTACAACACATATGAAATAGTGTTATTAGTTGAAGAAGATGTTCACAAACTTTGATAACTAGATATTTGGAAAGGAAATTGATCTGCACAATAGTTATATCCCTGAGTTCTCCCTCCTAAAATGACCATAATCCATTCACAGAAAAAAAATCATGAATTTGCAAGTTTGTCCACGATTGCGATCATAGCAGAAGAAAGTAAGAAGGTGTAAAGAGATAAAACAAAAAAAAACAAGTAGAGAGGTCGGACAAATTTGTAAATTCATGATACTTCGTGACTGCATGTATGAGAAGAGGTCGAACTGTATGAGCAGACTCCTCGCTGGGAGGATAAATATATTTAGCAAATCTTCGTTTGTTGTTTGACCATGACACTGTAATGGCAGTCACTCCTTCTTACTTTCTGATGTTATGATCGCAATCAATGTGTCCACGTTTTCATCTATTGTCATGCATAAATTTCTGTTTCAGGGATCCTAATCGTTTTCATACTGACACCTTTATTTCCGATTTTTAGAGTTTTCATCTATTATTAGTAAATCAAAAATGTTTGCTTCAGAGATCCCAATGTATGTCATATTGCCATGTTCGTTTCCGATTTTCAGAGTTTTCTTCGGCTGCTATGTCCTTATCTTATCTATCTACTGTTAGGAATTTACAAATTTCTGTTTCAGAGATCCCGATCATTGTCATACTTCCGTCTCCATTTTCGATTTTCACAGCTAAACAGTATATCCACGGGGAATGGAGCCGACTATTGTCCGTAAAATATGGAGGTATAGTGGAGGGCAGGGAATATACGGACAGCTCTGTATGAACTGGGACGGTCTGCACTTCCTCTCTGTATCATGGGCGGAGTTTCAGGTGGAGTTAGGCGTGGCGAAATTCGGCTGTTCTCATCAAGTATTTTTTCGGAAATCAGTATACTAATAAAAACAAGATGTAATGAATGAAAAAATTGACGCGTCATTTATTTCCATAAATCCTTCTCAATACTCATTTTCACATACTTCCTTTCCTCCTTCTCTCATAGTCATCTCGTTTTTCTGCTGTTGATCAGAATCACGCAGACATTATTTTCATAATATTTTTCTCCAAGTTTCCCTCTACCATGGAATCCATTAGGTTTAGAGGAGTCACGATTATATTTTATCATCTCCGTAAAAGTATTTCATTTGTCAAAAAACCTTTGTTATTGTCAGTTTATCTATGATCCATTATAAATTTACAAATTTAGGTTTTCCTTCTTAACGAATCCTCTTTGCTGAATGGAAAATTCATTGTGATGTTACACTACCTCAACAATTGAGCGAGCCGATGAATTTTTGAACAGCCGGTAGTTGGCTGCATCGCTTGTTTGCGCGTTGAAATGACATTGTACTGTATGACAAGCCGTCAAATCAAGAATTAGAGGGCTCTTGTGATGGAATGAGGCGTGAACTTCACAAAAAGTCTATGGTTCCTGGTGATTCTTTTTTTACCTGGGCGTTTGCAATCGATACACAAGCACCGCCTTCGCTGAATCTCACTCACCACACACCGTGATGTAAAGTAAATGTGAAGTGTTTAGGTTTACGCACAAGAATTTTCTTTACGTACGACCTCTGCACTTGACGTACGTTGTGCCAAAAATGAATACGTTATAGGCACTAAGTCGCCCTGAAAAGAGATGTTCTCAGATAGGCATTCCAAAACCATTCTTGGAATATCTAAGAATCTATCAGACAGGCGTCAATGTGACCCTTTTATGACCATATGTCATTTTTGAGGACGCGTCATATGACCAAGAAATGATAGTCTTGTATGTTACGTACAAATTTCGTACTGAGCATGATAGTCGTAAATAATTTGTAAAGCAAATTGTTGAAATACCATCTAAATAGATACATAATGACCGCCGTAACTGATTTCTGATTTGTGATGGTCAGAAATGAAAAAATTCGTTCCATCTATAGACATGAAAAATTATCGTGATTTCAATTCTGACACGCGCACGAGGGTAATGCGAAATGAATTCAAATCAAAATCGATGAAGAAAAATATGACGTTGCATCTGTGTCGATGAAAAATGACCATCATTTTTTCTCGAAAAATTATGAGAGTCATAGCACGGTGGGGGGAATTGTGACAGCTGTCATAAACGTCTCGTCTTATGACCGTGAAAAGACGAGTCATCTGACGCATTTGCACTGCTAATGCCTATATTACTTTCCTTTGACTCATACGTCTGTCATATGACATTCATAAGACCTCAACATGATCATCATATGACTCTATGACTCCTAGATATTTCAATTCTGACACGCGCACGAGGGTAATGCGAAATGAATTCAAATCAAAATCGATGAAGAAAAAAATGACGTTGCATCTGTGTCGATGAAAAATGACCATCATTTTTTCTCGAAAAATTATGAGAGTCATAGCACGGTGGGGGGAATTGTGACAGCTGTCATAAACGTCTCGTCTTATGACCGTGAAAAGACGAGTCATCTGACGCATTTGCACTGCTAATGCCTATATTACTTTCCTTTGACTCATACGTCTGTCATATGACATTCATAAGACCTCAACATGATCATCATATGACTCTATGACTCCTAGATATTTCAATTCTGACACGCGCACGAGGGTAATGCGAAATGAATTCAAATCAAAATCGATGAAGAAAAAAATGACGTTGCATCTGTGTCGATGAAAAATGACCATCATTTTTTCTCGAAAAATTATGAGAGTCATAGCACGGTGGGGGGAATTGTGACAGCTGTCATAAACGTCTCGTCTTATGACCGTGAAAAGACGAGTCATCTGACGCATTTGCACTGCTAACGCCCATATTACTTTCCTTTGACTCATACGTCTGTCATATGACATTCATAAGACCTCAACATGATCATCATATGACTCTCATTTGATTCATACGATCCCATACGACCTCCATATAACCGTCGTATGACCCTCATATAAATCTCCTACGACTCTAGCATGACTTATATGATCCTACATGACTCTCATATGACTCAGATTACCCTCATTGTGACCCTCATTGTGACCCTTATAACACTAATTATGACCGTTGTGACCTTTGTTTTCGAGATTTTATTTTTTATCTCGATTTTCTATAGTCAGAAGTCGATTTGCAGTAATTATCGAGATTTTTCAATAATCATTCATGCTAATAATCGTAAAGGACATATTATATGCTACAAAAATTATATTCAAACCCTTTTTCAAAGAATTTTTCTTCGGGGGGAGATAATTATGCACTCTCAACTGGCTCATTTTACCCACACGGTCTTATTTTCCCCCCTCTCTTCCTAAAACGTTGAGAGAAGAAAGTTTGGGGCCATTTTACCCACACAGTCTTATTCTCCCTCCCCTCACCCTAAAATGTTGAGAAAAAAAGTTTGGGGGTCCATTTTACCCACACCGTCTTATTCTCCCCCCCCTTCCCCTAAAATGTTGCGAGAAAAAAGTTTGGGGCCATTTTACCCACAGGATCTAATTCGTCCCTCCCCCTCCCCCTAAAATGATGAGAGAAAAAAGTATGGGGGTCTATTTTACTCACACGGTCTTATTTTCCCTCCCCCTCCCCCTACAATGTTGAGAGAAAAATATTTGGTGGTCCATTTTACTCACACAGTCGTATTCTCCCCTCTCCCCCTAAAATGTTGAGAAAAAAAGTTTGCCGGTCCATTTTACCTACACGGTCTTATTCTCCCCCTTTCCCCTAAAATGTGGCGAGAAAAAAGTTTGGGGCCATTTTACCCACACGATCTAATTCGCCCCCCCC